CACAAATGCCTGTATAAGCCAAGAAGGCCAGAGCATGAGGGCTGGGAATTTGGCTCTCATGGTCTAGGAAGAGTGGTGACAATCCTGACCTCTCCAGATTCGAGTCATAACTATCCTGTACAATCTCATCTAAGGATCACAACCCTAAAGAATGCAATTTCAATGTACATATTATTCCTTTAAAAGGAATGACTGTTATTTCCTGTGTTCATTTTATAAGGGCAAGAGTTTTGGGTGTGGGGAGGGGATGACTTACTGGGAGGGACTTTTTTTTTTTTTTAAGATTTATTTATTTATTTATTTGAGAGAGAGAAAGAGATAGCGAAAGAGAGCGCATGAGACAGGGGAGGGTCAGAGGGAGAAGCAGACTCCCCGCTGAGCAGGGCCCCGATGTGGGACTTGATCCCGGGACTGCAGGATCATGACCTGAGCCCAAGGCAGTCGCCCAACCAATTGAGCCACCCAGGCGCCCTGGGAGGGACATTTTGAAATGTCTTACCCTCAGGGATAAGATTCTTTATCTACATAAGGACTGAGGTCAGGATTTGTTGCTAATTTCTGAGGTGGTGGGTCTTAACCTCTATCTTCCCATCAAACATCCTGCAGAGAGCTGAATGTTAAAGAGAAGAATGCTTGGCAGAGGCTAGCAGTTAAAAACACTTCAGCAAGAGAAATCTCTATGGTTACTACTTAAAAAAAAAAAAAAAAAATGCATTCTGTATTTTGGCCACAGCTATAAGTAGCTAAACTCAGTCTTCTCCTAGGAAACCAACAAGTCAGTAACTGTCCCAACAGAAAAAAAATTACTCCGGTGGGGCAAGTGTGCAGGAAAGAACACACCATACCTTATGAAGGCTTCTACCTGGTACAGCCAGAAAGGGATATTACTGTGGGGAAGCCACTGCAGTATAAAGGTGAGAACTGGAAAGAAAGGGCTGGCCCCAATAATACGTTAAGTCATCAGATCCAGACAGCAGTGACTTTTCTCTTTGTAGGAATTTACTGAAAGCTTCAGAGAGGTACACTAAGTTCTCTCCTGTTGTATAAGGAAAAGCAAGAAGGCCTGTGACTGCCTGAATTTCCAGGCCACAGCAACCATGGCAGCTCTCTCAAACACCCAGAGCATGCTGGTAACAGGCCCCCCATGCAGCCTCAATGAAAAGAGCTGAGAAGTTATAGTGAAAAGCTCATTATCGTACCTTCTTTGAAACCATAGTAAAACAGATCTTTTTCCAGAGTCGCAGGGACAGACTGCTCACAGCATGATCATGTCTAAACTGGCCAACTGCTTTATAGAAAGTCCGCACTGAGCACATCACAGTCCTTAGGACCCAATCTTCCCAGAAAGACCGGAATAGCTTAGAAATGGCTCCTTTAGGCATAGTACACGGGGATTTGTGCTTTCTCATACCACAAGTCTTAAATGCCTTCTTTACTATAGGGATAGACAAAGAAATCAGCACCAGGTAGCTCCAAAATAACTGTTATTTGCCCACTACCCACAGCCACTGTAAATATTCCATAATGACAGCAGTTACAGGAAGTGCTGTGGACATCAAAGTGAGGTAGAAGCCATGCTTCGGGGAGAATGGCCTCTTCTCTAAAGAATAAGAAGTTAATCAAAGTTCTTACCTCTTAAATTAAAATCTATGTCACCACTCTGCTTAAAACAAAACAAAACAAAAAGCCTTGACCATGTACAAGGAGGCCCTTCTAGATCTGGCCCCTGCATACCTTTCTGGCCTCATCTGTTTCCATTCAGCCCTGCCAACTCCCTACCCTACAGCCAGAAGGAAGTATTTGAGTATTTGTAGCTCTCCCAATGCAGCACATTCTTCTCTTGCTGCCTATATGCACATTGGCCCTACACTCTACCCACCTCTCCCAGACTTAAAACAACTTAATTCTAGTGGTCCTTTGAATCATCACCTTCTCTACAGGACTGTCTCTGATCCCAGCCACGGTATCCCATCTATGCCTCTTCCAAAGAAAGTGCTGCCTTGCCCATTTGACTCCTCCAGCCAGTGCCTGGTACACAGTAAGTTTTCAGTGTTTACTGACACCTTCCTACAGTAGACTTGTATGCCACCCAGCATCACTGATGGGGCATGTTTAGAGGCTCAAAGAGGGTAAAAAGTAAACATAAATTTGAATTCTAGTCCAGAAGACCAGTCATCCTTTAACTTAAGATATATTTTCTTTCAATTAGCTATATGACTTGCCCTTGCCAAAAACAAAATACAACTTTTGAAATGCAAAGAAATCATAGAGGTTGCCAATGCATTATAATAAGTCCAATTCCATTTGTGTACCATCTATCTTCCCTTAGGATCGGATTAGCCCATTACCTACAAGATGGACTAGGTCATGTCTTTTTTTTTTTTTTTTTGTCTAAACAAGTGAATATGTAAGACTTCAAACTATCAGAAACTGAGCAAACTGTTGATCTGATTTTTCTTTTCTGGAGCTCAAAGATGTCTTCCAATTACAAAATGCTCTATTTGTCCCCTGAAATGTGCTTAAGACAAAGGACAGAATTTAGAGTTTGAATCAACATTAACTCAATTTATATTTTCATTTCTCCCAAAGGCAGTGTATTTTTAAAGAAGCATTTCCTTAGCGGAATGTAAGCTATATTCCTTGAATTGTCCTTTGACTGGGGATGTAACTCCTTGGGAGGAAACAGGCAAAGGAACAATTCTGTATTAGGTCAGTGTTCACCATACTAAAAGCAAAAAGCAGCCTATTTACAGAACATCTGGAGTTTTTCTCAAAGCCTTCCTAGAATGACACAATAGCACTCAATATTGAGTATTTTGAAGATATGCAAGAAAAAATGACCTCAGATGTATTGACACATAAGACATTCCAGCATGATGTCAAAATTTTTTGTGGTGATGACAGCAGGGATCACCAAAAGCCTCTACTTTCAAGGATCAGAACTACCTCCAGATCATATAAAGTTAGAGTGTTCACTTTAGAAATTAGCCAACCCCCATTTGCTAGTCTTCTCACCATCCAGGTTGCTTCTTTGGACAGGTGGGTACTTAACACTCATTACTATGTATCAGGTGGAAGACAGGATAAACAGAAGCTAAGACTTAAGATGCAACTGACTACATCTGAAAGACATGTACAGTGCACTGGTTTCCCAGTGATGCGGACATAGTGCTTCAGCCCCTCCCTGGCTCCCCTCCCACAAAAGTGCACATCTACAAAACCCTTTGTGAAATTCAAAAAGGGAATCAAATTCAAGAGAGTTTTCAAATATAAGCACAAAGCAAACATATTAAAAAAGGAAGGTAATGCCCAACTCCCAAGTCTTCCCCAGGTCCCAGGTAAAGAGACAGCAAAATGCTACAGACTGAATCCTGTTTTGGAGTCAGACAGGCTTGGTGTCAAATCCCAGCTCCCTACTTACTATCTGTGTGACCTTGAGCAAGACAGGGTACTCCCTAAACCTCAGTTTCCTTGTTTATAAAAGAACAATTAACTCTACAGGTTACTTCAATGGTTCAATTAAAAGATATAGAAGAAATGTACATTTTGGCAGTTACCACTCATTATGTCAACAAGGCAAGGTTTGGGTTCTATCTTTGTACCTGGCAGTTTTAAAGGTTTTTTTTTTTTTTTTTTAAAGATTTTATTTATTTATTTGAGAGAGAATGAGATAAGAGAAAGAGAGCATGAGAGGGGGGAGGGTCAGAGGGAGAAGCAGACTCCCTGCTGAACAGGGAGCCCGATGCGGGACTTGATCCCGGGACTCCAGGATCATGACCTGAGCCGAAGGCAGTAGCTTAACCAACTGAGTCACCCAGGCGCCCAGTTTTAAAGGGTTTTATAGTAGAAAGAACACTGAAAGCATCAGAAAGATCTAAGTTAAATCTTATATCCCTGGGGTTCATTCAGCTGTAAAATTTGAGACTGGGCTAGCTGATCCCTAAGTGAATTTCATGTTCTGAAAAACAAAAGTAATCCCCAATTTCTGAATCCTGCATTCATTCTTTTCATTTTCTTCTTCTTTAACATGAAATACTCATGTCCCTTGTAAACAGGTGAGAAAAATCAAAGAAAGGACAAGATGCTCAAGCAACTTATCATTTGAGTCACTCAAATTGCAGGCCAGGCTTCTCTGGAGGAGGGTGTAGGTGAAGGGTGTCTGAATGATGCACTCATATTAGTGGTAGGCAATAAAATGCCTGAACCCGGAAATTTTGCATTCTCTGGCACAAAGTCACTGGTAAGCACACTGCCTACCCTGCACATAGAGACACTAAAAAATGTTTGTTGAATAAATACCCAGATGACACCTGTTGCTCCATACAAAATCTTTCAATTGGTCTCCTTACTCAAGTCAAAATCCAAGAGAGATGGTCAGCACATAAGAACTGTACCAAACACCTTCTGAACGAATTACTTCTTCAAAACCTTAATTATGCTAAGTGGAAAAACATAAACACCGTGAAAGAAATGCTGAACCACCGGAAAAAACTTCTAAGCGAAGCCAAGTTTCAACATTCCCGCAGAGATACACCCACTGCTGCGAGGGTCAATTTCTTGGCCTCTTCCAGCTCTAACGAGCACCCTCAAAGGCGCTTGGTGGTGGGGGGGGGACCCAGCTCCTGTTTTACCCTGGTATACTCGGCTCTCCACGCCCCACTCCCAACACATAAACCTTGAAGCTGGCTGTCACTCGAGCCAGCACTGAACAGACACGAACACGGGGAGGCCAAAAGGCCATCTCCCCATCTTCATGAGGGTCGCCACAGAACCACAAACTCTGAGAAGATCCAAATTAATCACAAACCTAATCGAATTGATTCCGGCTGTTCCAGCTTGGGATAAGCTATTTTTTCCTACAGCTTCTGGGAGTCCAACAGAAACTCCAAAAGCAAAATCGAACGGTCCATTTCCACCCCCTCCTCTCCCAGGAATGTGGCTACTTTACAAATCGCAAGCACTCTCCGAGACCTTCGCCCGGGGCTCAGATCGTCGGGTGGTTCCCCGGGGAGAGGGGCTGCCCGCCGGGCTTTCGGTTGTTCCGGCGGGGTCCCCAGGGGACCCGCCTGCAACGGGCTCTCAGAGTAAAACTGAATGAGAAAAAAACCCCAGACTCGCCCACAGTGGCGGAAGGCGCAAAGCAATAGGGGATTTTGGCAAAGAGTGGAGGGGCCCAGAGACGACTCAATTTCCCCTCCTGCCCTCCGCAGCTCTTCTCCGGAGCCCGGCACGCCGCCCCGGTCCGCGCAGCACCCCCCCCGCCCCGCCACATGGTATGTCGCTCCTCATCAGAGCACATGAACTTTAAAATGGTGCCTCGGACGGCGGGGGGGGGGGGGGGGGGGCGGCGACAGGAGAGAAAGGGTCAGAGAGTCCCGGGACAAGCGAGCAGGCGCGGGGGCCAGGAAAAGAGGCCCTGGGTGGCGGGTGGGGCGCCCTGGGTGACGCGCACGTCGGGGGTACAGAGGAAGGCGCACCAGGCGGAGGTGGAGGGAGAAATGGAACGCGGCCCCTTTAAGAGGCCTTCACGGCGCTCAGGGACCGGGGGCCTCTCCTCCACCCCCGGTCCGGAGTGTGGGGCCCTGCCTTGGGGAGAACCATCCCCAGGCCCGCTCCCCGGAGGCTTCCCTCACGCCAGGTCCCGCCCGGCCCTGCCCCGCGGCGGCGGCTCCTCCTTACCCCGCTGTCTGCCGCCTCCTCCCAGCTCTCAGCGACCTCCTCATCTTCCATCTTACTCGCCGCTTTCCCTCCTCCCCCACCCCCTCCCCGCGCCTGCGCCCTGAAGCGCGCCTCCGTCGCGGGCGCCGGCACGCAAGGCTTTACTCAATGGACCCCGCCCCTTGCCAAGCCCGGAAGAGGCACCAGGCCAGGGCCCACTAGCATCGAGAAAGCCATCTTGGAAAAGGGCAGAGAAACCAGAAAGTTGCCATTTTTCTTAAGGGCAACGCGTTATCTCGCCTACTGAGTGGGAGAGCCCCTGTGAAGTCATCGTCTTGAGTACGGAAAGTGTGTTCTTTGGAGCCATGTTTTCTAAGGGCAGGCAATCACTGAAAACTTTTTTTTTTTTAAGTGAGTCGTAATCTTTATAAACTGCAGATTACGTTTTCTTCAACGTTCTGAAAACGTTTTATAGCTCACCAGAGGTTGAAAAATATCTGCTGATGCATAAGACATTCTGTTATTTCTGTGTGTTAGGGTGGAAATTTTTTACAGTTTTTCTTGCACATAAAGCAGTATTACAAGCATCTCTTAACACTCCTTTGGATCCTCAGTAAAACGTCGTTAGTTGATAATACTGGCACACGAGCTGGACAACCAACACTACTAAAGTTCTCCTGAGTCGTTAATAACAGATACATACATTAGCATTTCCTTAAAAGTTTACTTACGCGTCTTCCTAAACGGTATTCCTGTTTTATTTTTCTCCATTACAGAGGTAGAGACCTTCAACTTTAAAGTTCGACTTCGGACGCTTCCAACTCGAACAAGATCCTGTGATCTTAGGTAACTTACGGTGTCTGTGCCTCAGTTTCCCCGAGTGTACAAAACAGAGATAATAGTAGTAGTAGACGCTTCAAAGGTAGATCATCAGAATTAAACTAGTTACTATGCGGAAAAGCGTGGGACAGTGCTTGACCGGCAGTAAGACTTTCAAAGGTTAGCTATTATCATTATAAGGGTGTCTTGCCTCCCTAAGACTTGAAATTCTCTAATCATCCGTTGTTTCCCCAAACACAAAAACAAAGGAAAAATAAACATCATGTGTTTTTATTCTCACCAATGTGTTCCTATAAGCCTCTAAGTATTTAAACCCTGTCATTTGGTAGTGTTGCATTTAGCTGTTGTAATCAAATAGTCTAACCTGGAATGTGTTTCTTCTCATGTTTTTAGCATGCCATTAATCTTCCTAAAGTAACAGCTTCCTGTTGAGAATTTTTGCAATTGTATTCCTAATAATTATTATTATAAACTGCAATCACGTATTAAATGTCACTAGTCCTTAGAAGTTAAAGTGACGTGCTTACTAACTCTCTGGTTTCATGATTTCCTGTCTCTGAAATATGGATCATCTCTGGGTGTGTCCTCAGTCAGTCGTTTTTACCTAAATGCTCATGGTGTGAGCCACCCACTGAACACTAAAGATTCCCAAAGTTGATTTCCAGCCCTGACTTCCCCTGGTGTTTTTGATTCATATAGCTAAGCTTCTTCTTGGCATCTCCACCTGGATATTCCACTAGCAGCTCAACTCTAAAATATAACTAATATTATGAACAACCTGACCAACTTCAAAGTGTTTTCTTGCTCACTGTCTGGAGCTATGTTCATTTTGAATACATTCTTCTGTGAACCTGTTCTCTTAAATGAATTCTACTGACTAAGCCTGGGGGATGAGATTGTCTATCAGGCCTCACGTAAGTCTCTTGGGGTGTGATTAGTTTTCAAGGCAGCGGACACTTTTTTTTTTTTTAAGGCTTTGTAGTTGTAGCATGTTACCAGCAGAGGGAGATAATTCCTTATAATTTTGTTATATTTGGCAATGTGCCTTAACGAAGGAATTAGTTGGGCATTCCTGGGACTGAATTTTCTAGGAGAACAGAAAGATAGCGATCTTGGAGACCATTGGAGGATCCTGCAAAGGAAATAGCTTTTGTTCCAACAGATGGGCTACCAGGAGACCGGCCCTAGTTAATCATATAGGCCCCTTGTGACCTTGGGCAAGTCCCTTCCCCATCTGCAAAATGAAGAGATGGGGCCAAATAAGCTCTAAAATTGAGGAAGTGGGGGCACCTGGGTGGCTCAGTCGTTAAGTGTCTGCCTTCAGCTCAGGTCGTGATCCCGGGGTCCTGGGACTGAGCTCCGCATTGGGCTCCCTGCTCCACGGGAAGCCTGATTTCTCCCTCTCGCACTCCCCCTGCTTGTGTTCCCTCTCTTGCTGTGTCTCTCTCTGTCAAATAAAGAAATAAATAAATCTTTAAAAAAATAAATAAATAAAATTGAGGAAGTGGTGGTGGTTTTCTTCCACTGGGGGAAAGCCCCAAAAGTTGAAGTAGGGGCACATATAGATATTAACGGATATCCTAAAACATGAGTTTCTCTTTCCTGTGAAATACGTTTGATATACCACTCATGTTTGGGACTTGCATTCAGAACTGCAGGCACATTTGATACACCACATAAAACACTGAGATGTGATAGGAATTAAGATCAAAGCCCAGGGGCACCTGGGTGGCTCAGTCAGTTAAGCATCTGACTCTTGATTTCAACTCAGGTCATGATCTCAGGGTTGTGAGATTGAGCCCTGCATCGGACTCTGTGCTGGTGAACCTGGAGCCTGCTTGGGATTCTCTCTCTCCCTCTCCCTCCCCCCCGCCAAAAAAAGAGCAAAACCCACAGTGAGAAAACATTCCATCTAATGCACAAGCTGAGGCTATGTAGGCAGTTGTGTTAAGAAATAAATGGCAAAGGAGGAAAGAAGAAAGAAAGGAAAGAAAGAAAGAAAGAAAGAAAGAAAGAAAGAAAGAAAGAAAGAAAGAAAGAAAGAAAGAGCAAACTTACCAATGTTTAAAGGGTACATGCCTTTTGACCCAGCAATTGCATTTCTAGGAAATTTTCCTATAGATACATTTGCCCATATGCAAATAATAAAAGTACAAAGATATTCTTTGCTACTTTGTTTATAGTCACAAAACAGTAGAGACAAATGTCCATCTCTAGAGCATTTGTTTAAAAGATACCATGGTACTTTAGAATGCAATTTGTTAACAAAATTTTGATGGTCCTAAACATGCTGACATCGAATGACCTCAGAGAATTATAGTTAAATAATAATAATAATAATAATAATAAAAGCAGCAAGGTAAAGAGCAACATGTATAGTTTGCTGATATCTGTAGGTTTATTTATTTTAATGTGTATGTGGGTTGGGTTTTTTTGTTTGTTGTTTGTTGTTTGTTTTTTTTTGTTTTTAATTTAAGTAATCTCTACCCCCAATGTGGGGCTCAAGCTCAGAACCCAGAGATCAAGAGTTGCATGCTCTTCCGAATGAGCCAGGCAGGTACCCCTATATGTGTATGTGTGTTTTTGTGTATGCCTCTCTGGAAAGATATAAGGAACTTGTAATGGTTCCTTGTAATGCGTCACTTCGATGGAGGAGAGAGGTTGCTGGGGGACTGGTAGGATGGACGTAATTTTTATGTGTCCTTTTGTACCTTTTGAATGTTGTTCTATGCTAATAGCTTACTTATTCTACATGAGCATATACATAAGAAATGAACTTCACAATTGATTATTGGAATAGACTCTGGAGGAAAACTAACTTTTCTTTTACACTTATAGAGAGGTGACTGCCGCCCATCTCATCCAAGCCTCATCTTTTGTCGGGCTCCCTGCTCCGCGGGAAGCCTGCTTCTCCCTCTCCCACTTCCCCTGCTTGTGTTCCCTCTCTTGCTGTCTCTGTCAAATAAATAAATAAAATCTTTTAAAAAAAATAAAGATTTTGTTTATTTATTTGACAGAGAGAGACAGATAGTGACAGAGATAGCAAGAGAGAGCACAAGCGGGGAGGAGAGGGAGAAGCAGGCTCACGCTGAGCAGGGAGCCCAACGTGGAGCTCTATCCCAGGACCCTGGGATCATGACCTGAGCCAAAGGCAGATGCTTAACCGACTGAGCCACCCAGCCGCCCCTCTAAAATACTATTTTCATCATATATCCTCCCTGTCCCCAAATCTCCATGACCTAGAAGGTAATACCCAGTTTTCCTGATGATATTTCAGATCATATATAAACTGGCCTCAATCTTATCTCCTCCTGTTTGTCAGAAGGAATATTGCATAGAGATTAATACCATAGGTTTTGGTGCTCATCATCACTCATCATCAGGGAAATGAAAATCAAAACCACAAAGAGATATCACCTCACACATGTGAAAATGGCTATTAACAAAAACACAAGAAAAAACAAGTGTTGGCAAGGAAGTAGAGAAAAGGGAATCCTTGTGCACTATTGGTGGGGATGTAAATGGGTGCAGCCACTGTGGAAAACAGTATGGACATTCCTCAGAAAATCAAAACTAGAACTACCATAACATCCAGCAATTCTACTTCTGGGTATTTACTTGAAGAAAACAAAAACACTAATTCAAAAAGATATATGCATCTCTATATTTATTGCAGCATTATTTACAATAGCTAGGATATGGAAACAATCTAAGTGCCCATTGGTGGATGAGTGGATAAAGAAGATGTGATATATTTATACAATGGAATATCACTCAGCCATAAAAAAGAATTAAATCTTGCCCTCTGTGACAACATGATGGACCTACAGGGTATTATGCTAAATGAAATAAGTCAGAGAAAAAACAAATACTGTATGATTTAACTTATATATGGCAACTAAAAAAACAAAACAGGTGCTTGACTGGCTCAGTCAGTAGAGCATGCAACTCTTGATCTCAGGGTTGTGAGTTCAAGCCCCACATTGGGTGTAGAGATTACTTTAAAAAATAAATAACTAAACTTAAAGAAAAAAAAACCAAACCTGAAACAAATGAACAAACAAAACAGAACAGAAACAGACTGATAGATACAGAGAACAATGTGGTGGTTGCCAGAGGGAGGAGGTGGGAGAATGGGTGAAATAGGGGAAGGAGATGAAAAGTACAAACTTCCAGTCATAAAATAAAAATAAATATATAAATAAATAATAAATATATAAATATAAATATATAATAAATAAATAAATGAATAAAATAAAAAAGCTATGTACAATGGGATCATGTACTCACTGTATACAATGTACACCATGGGGAATATAGTTAATAATATGTAACAACCTTATGTGGTAACACTTGGTAGATATGTCTGTGGTGATCACTTTGAAATGTATATAAATGTTGAATCATTGTATCATTCACCTGAAACCAATATAATATTGTATGTTGAACTGTAGTTTGCGTGGCTCACTCGTTAAGCTTCTGCCTTCGGCTCAGGTCATGATCCCTGGGTCCTGGGATCGAGCCCCACATCGGGCTCCCTGCTCCGCAGGAAGCCTGCTTCTCCCTCTCCCACTCCCCCTGCTTGTGTTCCCTCTCTCGCTGTGTCTCTCTCTGTCAAATAAATAAATAAAATCTTTAAAGAAAAAAAGTTCTAGAGATGGATGTTGGTGATGGTTGCATAACAATATGAATGTACTTCATAGCAATGAATGCTACTTCAAAAGGGTAAGATAGTAAATGTTGTTTGTTTTTTATGTCTATTTTATCACAATAAAAAAATTGGAAAAAATAATGAACAAAATTAATAATAATAACAAAGTCTTTGAAGCAAAACCACCTGGGTTCAAACCTTTGCCTGTGATCCTGGGTTGAGCTAGTTAATCCCCGTGTGCCTCAGTTTCTTTTGCCCTTTTTTTAAGATTTTATTTTTGGGGCCCCTGCGTGGCTCAGTCGTTAAGTGTTCTGCTCGGGTCATGATCCCAGGGTTCTGGGATCGAGCCCCACATCGGGCTCCCCACTCTGCGGGAAGCCTGCTTCTCCCTCTCCCACTTCCCCTGCTTGTGTTCCCTCTCTCGCTGTGTCTCTCTCTGTCAAATAAATAAATAAAATCCTAAAATTTTTTTATTTTTATTTTTAAGTGATCTCTACACCCAACATGAGGCTCAAACTCACAACCTGGAGATCAAGAGTCACATGCTCCACCAGCTGAGCCAGTCGGGCGCCCCTCCGCAGTTTCATCACCTGCAAAATAAGCACAATAATGGCACCTACTTAGCAGTTTGACACATAATAAGGGCACGCAATAAACATCAGCTATGATTATTATTAAAGATTTTGCTTTAATAATAATACTGTCATGCTTATCACAATTAATAATTTTATATTGGCTTATTTACTTGTTTATTGTCTGTCTCTCCCAGTAACTCTAGGGGACGTCTACGAGGGCACGGGGCTTTGTTAGTTTTATTTAAAAATGTTACTATACATATTACATGGTTTGGCACATATAGGTGCTCACTAAATATTTGTTGACTAGATGCCCTCTTAGTTGTCAAATTCCCAATGTGTTCACTTATTCAACACATATTTAGTAAGTCTCTACTGTGCGCCAGTCTCTATATTAGATGATATAGCAGTGAACAAAACAGAACAATCTGCTGTCTTTGACTTAGGGGATTGAGTGGGGGAGTGGTTCTATATTTGAACTTGTTCTAACATGATCCAGCAGTTCCAAACCAACCTGAGCATCAGAAGTCCTAGAAAGTTTTAGAAAACGTCTGAGGTGGGTGTGTGGGGTCTAAAGGTGGGCCCTGGAACCTGCATTTTTAAAAGGAAGCCTTAATAGTTGGTCCAGTGTTTCTAACATTGAGCTCTATAGAGTATTTTGGTGGGTGGTGGGATTGGTCACAAGCTCTATGGCAATTTTTATGTTTGGGGTTTTTAATGACAGGACTTTAATATTTCTTTTCTTTTCTTTTTTTTAATTTGACAGAGACAGAGAGAGCAGGAACACAAGCAGGGGGAGTGGGCGAGGGAGAAGCAGGCCTCCCGCCAAGCAGGGAGCCCGATGCGGGGCTCGATCCCAGGACCCTGGGATCATGACCTGAGCCGAAGGCAGACACCTAACGACTGAGCCACCCAGGCGTTCCACGATTTTAATATTTCTTTTACCAGTTACAGTTGCCAAGTTTCTCTTTCATAGTGACATTTCCTAACTGAAAGACTTTGAGTTTCTTAAATCAGGGTTTCTCATACTGGGATTCCATGAGTATATCCCCTGGGGCCTCTGCATTATTCAAGTTTGAGGACCACAGATCCAGTGTTTCTGGAGTGAGGCTGACCCACGTCTCCTCAACAGCACCTTGCCCTTCCAACTTGAGAGGGGACTTGGGTTCTGACCCAGACCTATGTCCCAAGAGAGACCCCAGAAGGTCGCCTTTATTCCTGAACGGTGGGCTGGCAGCTGAAGATTGCTTCAGTATCAGGCGCAAACGGTGAAGACCGAAGCCCCTTGAGCTCTGTATCTCTGGCATTTCCCTAGACCACTTGCTGTACTTATGAGTCCAGGAAGATTCTCACCTACACACCAGGTTTCCCCCTTGAAAGGGGTATTTTGTTGGACCCCGCCACCTGGTGATAGTGCTACCGTAAAGTACCGGAGCTTGGGAATCATATATGCCTAAGTCCAAATTCTGCTCTGTCTCCCCCACCCCCATCTCGCCCCTCAGATGTGTGGGCTTCGGGAAAATATACTGATAATACTCTGCGCCTCAGTTTTCCTCATCTGAAAAATGGAGCTAGTAACAAGTCACACAGTGGTTGCCTCCATTAAGGGAGGCTTCGATTGCACAATCAAGGCACTGAGTTTCCCTTCTTCAGTTGACGTCCAAGAGCACTTCCATTCACCACAGCCCTCCCTTGTGCTCATCAGGCCCCCGGGGGTCCAAATGAGTTGGAGTTAATTCCTGGCCCTAGGTCTACACAGTCTCAAGCCATTGGGAAAACTGCCCAGTTGCCCCTAGGCCTAAGTGCAAAGGAGGGTGGGTGCAGCCCTGAGGTCGGTTCTAGGGACTCAAGGAAGGCGGGCGCAGAAGCGCGACGTTTCCCCACTCCAGCTTCACTGCCCGGGGCGGCGTTCCAGCCTCTGCGGAACCTCTGCCTGGGACCACGTCCCTTCCCAACATGGCGCCATCCCCAGGCCGCCTCGCGCGGGCCTGCCGCGCTGACGTATGTGCGAGCGCGCCCTCCGCGCTGGACCCCGGCGCATGCGCACACCGCGCTGTCTTCTCCCGACCAGAGCAGCAGCAGCGGCGGCGGCGGCGGCGTTTGAGTGGAGGAAGATGGCGGCTCCGGGCGGCTCTGGGTCCCGCCAGCTGTAAGGAGCCCCAGGGCGGCAAGCGCCGCTTGAGGCGGAGCGCCTCTGCTCTGGCCCTGTCCCCGGCTCCCTCATCGCCGTCGCCAGCGGAGCGAACCCGAGAGCGTGGCGCGGGCTGGGCCAGGTGAGGCTTCTCCCTCTCCTGGGGCCGCGGCGGGGAGCCGGCGCCTTCTGCCCTTTATGCCCCAGGCCCGCAGGGGGCAGGGGGCGTCCCTGGCCCCGCGCAGGCCGCGCATCGTGCCCGGGGGTCGGTGCCGGCTGGCCTGGGGGCCTTGCTGTCGTCATCCTCGGCCTCTCTGGGTTAGGCAGGGAGGAGGAGTGCCCCTTTCCACCCAGCCCTTGGAATGGGAGTGAACCCGGCCCCTCTCCTCAAGTAGGGCGGTTCATATCCCCTCACCGGGTCCACGAAAGGGTGTATGACTAGGGCAAGGATGGCTCTCAGAGTGTCAGATATCTATCTTTCACCCAGCCTCCGGATCTTTAACGTCTTGCGCTGAGGAGCCGGAGTCCAGTGCCTTCCAAAATTGGGGCTGCGGCGAGGGGCCAGCATCTGGGAAGCTGTAGCTGCAAAGGGGAAGATTTTGGAATTGGTTTAAAAAATAAAACAAGCAGTCTGTCTTACCGCTTAGCTTTTTGAGTGTTCCTCCGGCCAAGTGGGAGCTGCGGGTCTCCTTGATTGAGACAGCAATCCACGTTGTGGCTGTGAGAATTGTTTGTGCAAAGGGAACGGTGGAGGGTGGGAACGAATCTGTAAACGGAGAAAAACCGATTCTGAGATCTTGATAGTCTCTGCAGAGTAACTTCGGTGCTAATGAAGTCTTCGTTTGTTTGAAAACCTTTGTGTTTTTGAGATTCGGAATAGCTAATTGCTTTTTATGTTAAATCTCCCGAATTTTATTAGGAAAATAAAAGCTTTCCTTAATTGCCAAAGTCTTTGGGCTTTTCTGTGGTGGGATTCTCATTGCTCTGGGTGAAGATTTAAGCACCTTACCAGTTCTCACTTGCTGGCAAGGACATTCTACTATGCTTGTTATTCCTTTTTGAGAATAAGTTTTTGTTGTTCAGCTGCTAATTGGGAGGTTTTGATTTCGTTTCTCACGTTGGGAAGCCGGTTTGAAGCCTTGTGATGTCTTCCTTGAAGAATGATGGAATCAGTTGGAATTGTGCTATGGGGGAAATGTTGAGGCAATGGCTTTGGCGTGGACACACCGAATATCTTTGTAACTTAAATTTGTTTTCCTTGTGCTTGCAATGATGACGACATGGGTTTAAAGGGAGAAGGAAATTAGAGGAGAAATACCATCATTTTGAGTTGAACATTTAAAATTCAGTCTGTAGCTTTTACAGTGAATAGTGACTCTATCAAATTCCTAACTATTGAGCATATTCATGTGTATAATCTGATTGGGTGTCCTTTCTATTGTGTGTTGTCATTTTATACCCTGTAACTGTTTGCTTTTGACAAACCCAGTATAAATCTATTAATCAACATTGACCAACGGATGTTCTGCTTCAAAAAGCTTTGAATTGTTAAAATGACAACTGCTTGGTTTAATAATAGCTAATTCTTTGACCTTTTCTTAAAGCTTTTCCCATAGAGATTTATAGATTTTCTTAGTGCCTTTCATAAAGATGTAAACCTGAACAAATAACTTCACAGAAAATTGGAGAGCCACCTTAAATTTCAATTTGCTACGAATCATGAAATAATGCAGTAAAACATCCTGATGGTTTGACATTATGCTTCTTGGCATAATGTGTTGCATTGTTGTGCTAAATCATCATCAGGTATTGATGCAACTTCATGACATCCATGACATCATTCACTCTCTAGCATTTTGCCCTTTGCAGTTCCTTACTTTCTCAGAGTCACAAAAAGAACAGGATCAGGAAAAATAGCTTAGGATGCTCCTTACTCTCTGATTTCTTAAAAGAGCCTTCATATAACACTGCTTTATGTAGTTAAACTCCTGTAAGATTCAGAGCTGTGTGTGATTCCTACCTATTATGAAGAGCAGGCACAGAAAATGCTAGTAAAACCGCTGGGTTTTACAAGAACATTGAGGTCCCAAGGAGAAGTTATATCAAAGATGAACAGATAAGTGATTAGCTTTTGTGATTTCAAGGTCGTTTTAGTGAATTAGCAACTCTTTACAAAACCAGAAGCTGATTAATTAATGTCTTTTCTATTTCAACATTGTTACATGGGTCAAAAGAGGTAATGTTTTGTGAGAGTCCTTTGTAAAATAACAGGTAAGTGTAAGGTTGATTATTCAACGATCAGTTTTATGAAAACCCCCTACTGAGGGCCCTCTATATACGCTGGGAAGTAGGTACTAATGATTCTAAGGTAAGACACCTTTTGGTCTCAAGTTGCCTACAGTCTAGTTGGGGAGCCAGACAAGGAAACCAGTTAAGTATGTTATAGTGTAAGAAGTAAGACGTGCACAGAATCCAACCAAGGGAATCAAGGAAGGCTTCTTAGAGCCAGGATGGCTTCACAGCCATTCCTATTCTGCAGAAAAATCTGCCTTTTGTGAGTGACTTGCTTTTTATAAGAACTTAAAAAAAAATTTTTATTTATTTATTTGACAGACACAGTGAGAGAGGGAACACAAGCAGGGGGAGTGGGAGAGGGAGAAGCAAGCTCCCCACTGAGCAGGGAGCCCAATGCTGGGCTCAATCCCAGGACCCTGGGATCATGACCCGAGCCGAAGGCAGACGCCCAATGACTGAGCCACCCAGGTGCCCCCCCCCAAAAATTTTTATCATGAGTTCTTTCCCCCTTTTATTCATTCACTGTCATGACACTTCCCACACAGTATGCCCCAGTTATGATTTCTGCATTCTCAAAAATCCAACAGTCTTGGGAGAACCTGAGAGTGAGTCATATGCCAGGCAACAAACAAAAACATTGCAGCTGCAATGAAAATATCTCAGATTACTAAATGGAGACAACTTTAGGCTGATGATGTTTTTGTTTTTGTTTTGTAAACTGGCATAAGAAGCAACGTATGATTTTAATTTGATCACATTTAGTTAATCACATTTAGTTGTCAATCCCTTAGAATGTTGACTATAACTAGTTATTAGTACTGTCTGCTTTCTCCCAATAATCAAACAAGACGGTCTTTTTTCTTTTGGGTGAAGCTGACAATTTAAACCAGGACTACACTATTTTATAGAATCCATTCATGTAGATAAAGGTTGCTTAGCATCTCTGATATTGAACTTCTGTATCCCAATACAAGTTCCTCATCTTAGTGCTGTGGTAGTTTTATAATTAATTTAGCATGTTATCGCCTATATTGCAAGCATTTTATGAGTTTTTGGATGTGTAGAATCTTTACGGGGTGCAATATTAGTAGAACATTTACAGTTTGGTAACACTCATGTTTACATGTTACCATGTAAACATTCAACACTGAAAATGAGGGCTTTAAGGTGTTGGTTGACAGAAAAATCAAGGTGATGTGTCTGTTTATTTTCCTATATTGTGAGTTTGTTACATATAGAAGGATATGACATATAGACAAGTCATTTTAAAATTGCCCAGTCTTAGGGTACCTGGCTGTCTCAGTTGCAAGAGCATGTGACTCTTGATCTTGGGGTTGTGAGTTGGAGCTCCATGTTGGGTGTAGAGATTACTTAAGTAAATAAATAAGCTTAAAAAAAAAATTGCCCAGTATTGTGCTCATAATTCAGCTTTTCTCTCTCTCTTTCTTTCTTTCTTTCTTTCTTTCTTTCTTTCTTTCTTTCTTTCTAGACTTATTTATTTATTTATTTGAGAGAGAGAGAGAGAGAGAGTGCGCGTGAGTGCGGGATCACGAATGGGGGGTGGGGCGGAGGGAGAGGATCTCGAGCAGTCTCCCATGTGGGGCTTGATCTCAGGACCCCAAGATCATGCCCTGAGCCGAAACCAAGAGGTGGATGCTTAACTGACTGAGCCACCTGGGTGCCCCCAGCTTATTTTCTAAGCTGTTTTTTGTGACCTGGGGGTGCTGGCTGGCTCAGTTGATAGAGCATGCTACTCTTGATCTCCGGGTTGTTGGTTCAAGCTTACTTTAAGATTTATTTATTAGAGAGAGTGTGAGAGAGAGCGCGTGCGTGGGAAAGGGCAGAGGCAGAGGGAGAAAGAATCCTCAGTCAGACTCTCTGCTGAGCACGGAGCCTGACACGGGCTCTATCACTCAACTTATGAGATCATGACCTGAGTTGGAATGACCAGTCGGTCACTTAACTGCTGAGCTACCCAGGTGCCCCGAGTATAGCTTACTTTAAACAAAAAAAGTGTTGGAAGAGGGAAAAAAAAAAAAAAGAACTAAATTGTTTCTTGTGACCCTCTAAATGTCTTGTAAAATTACAACTTAGTGGTATTCCTATAGCTTAAATTTGCTCTTCCTTACTCATGGTTGTATTAGAAAGCAAATTTGCTTTGAAATTTGGTTCTTTCTGTATTAAATTTCTACTTTTTAAGTTGTAAAGTTTTCCCCCAAGTTTTTATTTTTTTCCCAGTGTCACTGTTCTGTGTTTTGTTTCCAAAGTGGAAATAATCTTGTGGTGCTTTGATGCTTATTTATATATATAAATCTGATAAATGCATAGGTATTATTAAAGTAGTAGTCACTTGTAAATTATTACTACAGTAACTTATCCTCTACTAATACATAAATTTGAGGTAGTTCAGTTAATTTCTATAAAGGCGAACAGGTTTTAGTTTCAGCTGTTATTTTTTTAGAATATTTAATATTTAGGATACTTTTTTTTTTTTAAGAGAAGCTGTATGTCCAGTGTGGGGCTTGAACTCACGAATCCAAGATTAAGAGTCACATGCTTTACTGACTGAGCCAGCCAGGCGCCCCTATTTTGAATACTTTTATTTCTACTATTTTAAGGAATTCACTAGTAGGGCATACTTTCCAAATTTGTGTTTCCTTTATTATTCTCGCTTTATTAATTTTTTAAGATTGATTGATTTATTTTAGAGAGCTAGAGAGCATGCATGGGTGGGCAGGGCAGAGGGAGGGGGGAGAGAGAATCTCAAGCCGACTCTGCCCTGACTGCAGAGCCCCACCTGGGGCTCTGTCTCAGCACCATGAGATAACAACCTGAGCCAAAACCAAGAGTTGGATGCTTAACCTACTGCACCACCCAGGGGCCCCTATTAATCTCATTTTAAATGCTTGGTTCAAGTGCTCGCTTCGGCAGCACATATGCTAAAATGCTTGCTTCATGTTGCTAATAGAGAACAAGGAATTTTTTTCCGGAATGAACCTCTTAGTGCATTGTTTGGAGAAAGATTGATGTTAATTATAAATTCATCAATACAGTTTTACATAAGTCAAGCAGACAAAGTCAGTTATCATATGGTTTCCCTTATTTATGAAACATAAGGAATAGCATGGAGGCCATTAGGAGAAGGAAGGGAAAAATGAAGGGGGGAAATTGGAGGGGGAGATGAACCATGAGAGACTGAACTCTGAGAAACAAACTGAGGGTTTTAGAGGGGAGGCGGGTGGGGGAATGGGTTAGCCCGGTGATGGGTATTAAGGAGGGCATGTATTGCATGGAGCACTGGGTGTTATATGCAAACAATGAATCATGGACCACTACATCAAAAACTAATGATGTACTTACTGTATGGTGACTAACATAATAAAAAAAATACAGTTTTACTAAAATGTTGCCTTTCCCATCTCCTGGCTTTTCAAATGGAAGTCAGAGGGAAATGGAATTTATCCTTCTATTTCAATGTTTCTTTTTAAAGCTTTTTTTTTTTTTAAAGATTTATTTATTTATTTGAGAGAGTGAGAATGAGAGAGAGAGAGTACATGAGAGGGGGGAGGGTTAGAGGGAGAAGCAGGCTCCTCCCCGAGCAGGGAGCCCGATGCGGGACTCGATCCCGGGACTCCAGGATCATGACCTGAGCCGAAGGCAGTCGCTTAACCAACTGAGCCACCCAGGCGCCCTAAGATTCTGTTTTTAAGCAACCTCCACACCCAACATGGGGCTCAAACCTACAACCCTGAGATGAAGAGTCACATGCCCTACCGACTGAGCCAGCCAGGTGCCCCTAAAGCTTTTTTATTAGTAGTCTTTGCTATGTCTTGCCAAAAAGGAACGTCTTGT